ACATCCCTGTTTGACACCCGATTCCACCTTAAATGGATCACTTTGGGAGCCACTGCTGTCCAAAACTGTTGCCATCATGTCATCATGGAGGAGCCGCAGGATGTCCACAAATTTGTTTGGGCACTCAATTTTTTGGAGGATGGTCCAGAGAGCGCTGCGATTCACTGTGTCGAATGCCTTTGCAAGGTCGATGAATGCCATGTACAGAGGTTGATTTTGTTCTCTGCATTTTTCTTGGAGCTGTCGTGCAGTGAAGACCATGTCCACGGTTCCTCTGGAGGGGCGGAAGCCGTTCTGGGATTCTGGGAGGGTGTCTTCTGAGAGGGGCAGAAGGCGGTTTGCAAGGATTCTTGCGAGGATTTTCCCAGCGGAGGTTAGAAGGGAGATACCTCGATAGTTTCCGCAATCTGTTCTTTCCCCTTTTTTGAAGAGGATGATGATGGTGGCATCCTTGAAGTCTGCTGGGATTTTCTCGGTCACCCACACTTTTTCTGAGCTGGTGGAGTTGGTGTGTCAGCTCGGGTCTTCCCTCTTTAAAGATTTCAGCAGGGATCCCATCCGGTCCGCTGGCTTTGTTATTCTTTTGTTGGCTGATGGCATTGCTGACTTCTTCCAGACTAGGCAGTGCTGCAAGCTCATCCCTCGTTTGTTGTTGCGGGATCTGTGAGAGGACCTCTTCGGCCACATTAGAGCTGTGGTTCAGGAGGCTTTGGTAGTGTTCTTTCCAACATAGTGCAATTGAGTTTTGGTCCTTCAGGAGTTTGGTTCCATCTGATGAGCGGAGAGGCTGTATGCCATGGTTTCTTGGTCCATAGATGACCTTTGTGGCTTTGAAGAATCCCTGAGCGTCATGGGTATCTGCCAGGTGTTGGATTTCTTCAGCCTTCTTTGTCCACCAGATGTCAGGGGTGCTTTGAATGCATTTTTCCTGCTTGTTGGCAGAGGGTGGGACTGGATGGCCCATGAGGTCTCTTCCAACTCTATGATGATTCTATGATTTCAGTAGTACAGAGACTGCAGAAGTTGAGAAATGGATTTTAATAACAGGTAGTATTGAGCCAAATGTAATTCTCCATGTAGATGGCAATGACAGTATGCTTTCTTTCTATGTATAAGTCTACTATAAAATTAGCATTTGCATATTTTACAACAGGCACTAGCTGAGATTCTTACCTTAGATATATCCTTATTCACCCTTACAATAAAACCAGCTGTATCTTGGGATTGGTTATACACTGATTGCCACCAGCTTGAACATTGACAAGTACTGTAAATCCCAATGTGTTGAATGATGCTTACTTCTAAGAAAGCATAAATAGAATAGCCGACAATGTGTCATTTTTTTAGTTCTATATTGATTGCTTCCTTGCATAATCAAGAACGAGTATTCAGGATAGTTACTAATTCCATTTCTGTTCTGTTGTTGTTCATTCGTTCAGTCGTCTCCGACTCTTCGTGACCTCATGGACCAGCCCACGCCAGAGCTCCCTGTTGCCCATCACCACCCCCAGCTCCTTCAAGGTCAGTCCAGTCACTGCAAGGATGCCATCCATCCATCTTGTCCTTGGTCGGCACGGTGTTTTCCTTTAAATGTGTTATCAAAGCCACTAGATGGCATTAATTCTCTTCTGGGTAATCTGCAATTTGAATCCATGGCTTGTGTCCTAGCCTCCAGAGCAGCAGAAAACATGCTTGCTCTCTCCCCAATGGGACATCCTTTTAAATATCTAGATATGGATACCATGTCTGCAATCAGCCTTTTCTCCAAGCTAAAGATATATTGCTTTTTAAGCCATTCCTCATAGGGCTTGGCTTCCAAACCTTTGATCTTTTTGCTTGTCCTTCTGTGGACACTTTCCAGCTTGTCAATATCCTTCATGAATTATTATTTTACTTTGGTCAGAATCACTGGATGATATCTAATGGTGTCTGTATGCCAATGGAAAGGCCAATATTTGGGGGAAAGTTCTGCAAACTGATGTGCAAGTTGGACTTTGTTCACACAATCTTGAGTTTTGTTCTACTAGCAATATAATTACATCTTGTGTGATTAGGTTGTTGTTGAGGATTATGATTTACTGGACTGGAACTAGTATTTGTAAGACATTTATCAAATGACCCCCCTTCTTTTTGTGTGAAGTGTTGATATATAATAACAGTCCAGTAGGGGGTGCTCCTGTCATTTATGTCTGCAAGAACAACACACTAGGAAGCAGTCCTTTCCCTCTGCAGATCTTTGAGTCTCTGCATAAAGTCAAGCTTCAACTCCTCACTCACTGTTGTATAAAATTGAATTTCCGTGCATTTCTATACTAAACATAAATAGAAAAAGGAGTGTTATACAACAAACTTTCACAACAAGGTTATTTTGAGTTGGGCCAATGACATTATCCAACTTTTTTTGTGTTAGGAGAGACTTGGTGTGAGAAAATTGGCCATCTGCAAGGACGTTGCACAGGGGACACCCAGATGTTTGGGATGCTTCTCTCCTGTCCCCGCAGGGAAGCTGGAGCTAACAGATGGGAGTTCACCCTGCTTCTCGGATTTGCCTTTCAGCCAACATTCCTGCCAGCACAAGGGTTTAACCCATTGCACCATTGGGGGCTGATCTTGGTATTGTGATACTTTCATAGATTTTTGAGTGTATGGAAATTCCTCCCATTCATAGACGGCTAAATTAATTCAGAATATCTTTCCTTGCTCAAAACAAATGGAAGGTAAAGTACCTGAGACAACAAAATACGACTGTTTTATACTTAATCAGGCTATTTTGTTTTGGAGAAAACAAAAAGCAGATGCAGCATTAACAAGTCTCTAATTGATCTCTCTTCCAACTGATCTACCTGAATGGCTAGGAAGAGAATGTTCCTGTGATATGGATTGCTGTGAGTTTTCCGAGCTGTATGGCAATGTTCCAGAAGCATTCTCTCCTGACGTTTCACCCACATCTATGGCAAGCATCCTCAGAGGTCGTGAGGTCTGTTGGAAACAAAGCAAGTTGGGTTTATAGATCTGTGGAATAATATCCAGGGTGGGAGAAAGAACTTTTGTCTGCTTGAGGCAAGTGTGAATGTTGCAATTGACCATCTTGATTAGCACTGAATAGCCTGGCAGCCTCAAATCCTTGCTGCTTCCTGCCTGGGGGATTCCTTTGTTGCGAAGTATTAGCTGGCCCTGATTGTTTCCCGTATTTCCCCAGTTTTCTGAGTGTTGTTCTTTATTTACTGTCCTGATTTTAGAGGTTTTTTTAAATACTGGTAGTCAGATTTTGTTCATTTTCATGGTTTCCTCCTTTCTGTTGAAATTGTCCACATGCTTGTGGATTTCAATGGCCTTCGATAACACATTCCTATGTTGGACATCTTCTCCTTCTTGCAAATGAACACTTCATGGAAATTCTGCAGCAAAAAAAAAATCCTACCAGTTGAGAAGGATGTTCTCTTTCCACTGCTGAAAATTAATGTGCTGAATTTCCTTTCTCTGGAAAGAGGACACACTGACATGAAATATACCAGAGCTTCCCAGAAACCAGTGTGGGAAGACTGCTGGTGCCTGCAGGATATATTTATGCAGTTCTAAACAACTTACCAAATACATGAGCACTGAAGTACATGTTCATCAAAACAGGCATATCCAGCTTGTAATGTCTCATAGCAGTAGGAATTGACTTCCATGTAGTTGCTCTGCATCAGGTATTGGCAAACTTTGGCCCTCCAGGTGTTTTGGACTTCAACTCCCACAATTCCTAACAGCCTACCGGCTGTTAGGAATTGTGGGAGTTAAAGTCCAAAACACCTGGAGGGCCAAAGTTTGCCCATGCCTGCCCTACAATGGAGAAAAACAGGTTTCGGGGGGGGGGGGGTGAACCCTTTCAGGGGGTGTTGAACCCTTACCCCTTCTTCCAGAAACCTGGTTTACTCATGAAATCTCCCTCTGGCTATGGCCATCTGCTCACCCACAAAAAACTATATTTAACTATCTAGAGCTGATGTGGTCTATCAAATGCATTTTTCTGAATCGGCATCCCAAATAACCCCAGGAACAGACCTAAAAGCAAAGACACCAAGGTGCCCCTGCTTCCAGGAGCCACATGGAATGGCTCCACTCGGGGAGGGAGAAGCAGCGGTCAGGAGGCATGTTGTCACGTCTTTTGTGGGGAGTCAGCCTCTCCCCTCCTGACATCCACATTGCCTTGGCACTATAAGGGGGTTTCACGAGACCGGTCACTCTCGCTGCTACGGTGTAGTAACGGTGAAGTTGCAGACCACTTTTTAGTTCTTGGGGACCACTGGTGGTCCAAGGACTACAGGTTGGGAACCACTGAGCTAAGGGGACCCCATTTGGAGTTGGGACCTAAATTTTAAGAAGAAGTGGTCTGATAAAGGCAGACATGAAAACGAGAGTTTATCCAATAGACCACTAGTGCAGCATTTCTCAACCTGGGGGTCGGGACCCCTGGAGGGGTCGTGAGGGGGTGTCAGAGGGGTCACCAAAGACCATCAGAAAAAAACCAGTATTTTCTGATGGTCGTGGGAGTTCTGTGTACCAAGTTTGGCTCAATTCCATCGTTAGTGGAGTTCAGAATGTCCTTTGATTGTAGGTGAACTATAAATTCCAGCAACTACAACTTCCAAATGACAAAATCAATCCCCCCAACCCCACCAGTATTTGAGCAAATCAGGTATTTGTGGCAAATTAGGTCCAATTAATAAAAAATTCATCCTGCATGTCAGATATTTACATTGCAATTCATATCATTAGCAAAATTACAGTTATGAAGTAGCAACAAAAATAATTTTATGGTTGGGGGTCACCACAACATGAGAAACTTTATTAAGGGGTAACGGCATTAGGAAGGTTGAGAAACACTGCACTAGTGGAAGCATTATCTTTGAACACTGAGGAGAATGGCAGTGGAACTTGAGGATACTGTAGTTGCAAACTCTTGCTGCATAGCAATCGTGATCAATTCCGAAAGAAAAGAAAAGACATTGTGGAAATGTTTTCACCATCATCAGAGGAGAAAAGGCAAGCTGCTCTGATGCGGATTTATTAATGCCCAAAATATATCCCTTCCAAGACTTGTTTTGAGACAGGGGGCAGTGATGAGGAACAATTAGCTTGGCCTTAGATTATTTACAGCTGTCTGTTGCATTCCCCTCCCATCAATTCTTCACCATTGGATCTGATCTTGCTTTGCCTGTGCTTGAAGCTCTCTCTCTCTCTGTGTGTGTGTATGTATGTATGCAAGAGAGAGAGAGAGAGAGAACAATCCAGCATATTGTGGAAGTCCTACCTGTTGAAAGATAACCCAGATGTGAGAGCTGAACAGTGTACCACCAGCAAGGTAAAACTCACAAAAATCTGCCCCCAAAACATGTGAAGGGATAAAATGAATATAAGGCACAATGTAGAGGTGGAGAAAAGGAGATAAAGTGCGCTTTCTTTCTTCTCCAACTACTTTTTTGTAGTAAACAAACACATATTAGAAATTGTGAACCAGAGCAGCAGAATGTGCGCTATCAGGAGTGAGAAGCAAGACTGAGACTTGGCTTATTTAAGCTGCTCACCATTAAAGGGCATTTCTCATTAAAGGGCTTTTCTATTTCCAGTTATTGGGATGAGTGGGAGGCACGACCACCATTCCCTCTTAACTCCACTGATGGAAAAGGTACAGGCAAAGTTTTAAAAGATGTATTGTAGAAGGCTTTCATGGCTGGAATCACTGGGTTGTTGTAGGTTTTACAAACTGTATGGCCATGTTTTAGAAGCACTCTCTCCTGACATTTCGCCTGCATCTGTGGCAGGCATCCTCAGAGGCGAAACAGGAGAGAATGCTCTAGAACAAATTCCCGCCTGTGGAATTTGCTCCCCGGGGAAATTAGGTCATCGTTATCCCTCCTCACCTTTAGAAAAAAGGTTAAAACGTGGCTGTGGGACCAGGCCTTCGGGCAATCAGGTTAAAGGACAATTGATAATGTTGACTATGGCATGGAAGAGGATTTGGATAAGTTAAGCGGAGTAATCATTAGTAGATGGCTAGCTAAACAGCCACCAGACGGGCAATAGCTAATCAGAGTGTAAGTATACTGTTTTAATCTTTATTTATTAATGTTCATGTTTAATTGTTATATTTGTTATTCTGTATTTTATGATGTGGCATTGAATTATTGCCAATTGTAAGCCGCCCTGAGTCCCCCCAGGGGTTGAGAAGGGCAGGGTAAAAATGTTCGAAATAAATAAAATAAAATAGAACATGGCCATTCAGCCCAAAAACCTACAACCCAATTTCTAAGGCACAGATATGAAGACAAAGCTCATGCCTTCTCTTTAGTTTCCTCAGAGTATTATTTTAACAAAACCTTTTAAAAATGTTAGATAAAGCCTTTAAACTTTCAAGATGTAAATAATGTCTGAATTAGTTTCAAAGATAGGTAAGGCACAGTTGATATTATGCAGGCACAAGAGGCAAACTTGTGATGTACAATATTGTTCAGAAGGAAAAATCTTCTGATCCTTCCTTGAATTAAACAGAATTTCCTCACAGAGCGTGAGGGAGTTTGGCAATTCCTTTTGTCATTCTGGGAACTAACTTCCATAGCCCCCCATCAAAATTGAGGATGTTTAGCTTTGTAGTTCTTATATGCGTCAACTATTTCTGTAATGACGGTGGGATCGTCCAATGTGGTGAGATCTCCCAGATCAGTAACGCTGCCTGACACTATTCGTCGGAGCAACCTTCTCATGATTTTCCCAGAACGTGTTTTGGGGAGTCGTTTCACCACCTGTTTGAAAAAGAAAAACAGTACACGTTTCACTGTAGTGAATAATTTCAAACATTATTATTACTTTAAATGAAATCAAAACTCATTCAGCCTTATGATACTAGTGTGGTTCAAGAAAATCTCCTTCGAAATGGAGTAACTGAACAAATAATCTAATCCTAACCCAAATTCTAAAATTAAGACAAAATAATTTCCTGGAACATGTTTTGAACTACCGTATATACTCAAATATAAGCCGAGGCACCTAATTTTACCACAAAATACTGGGAAAATGTATTGAGTATAAGCCGAGGATGGGAAATGCAGCAGCTACTGGTAAATTTCAAAATAAAAATAGATACCAATAAAATTTCATTAACTGAGGCATCAGTGGGTTAAATGGTTTTGAATATTTACATAAAACTGTAATTTAAGATAAGACTGTCCAACTCTAATTGAACAATTATTCCAATCTAAAAATTCTAATTCTAATAATAATAATAACAATAATAGAGTAAAATAATGTAAATGTAATAATAACAATAGAGTAAAATAATAAATGTAATAATATTTATTTATGGTATTTGTATACCGTCCTTCTCAAACCCCGAAGGGGACTCAGGACGGTTGACAGTGTTGGGAACAATTCAATGTCATTGATTAAAAAAACCCAGTATAAAACATCAAAATTGACCCTCTCCTGATAAAACATTATTAAACACATCACATAAAATAACATCACATATCATACAAAGACAGTCGTTTTCCGTAAACAGTCCTGGGTCACTGCACTTTCAACTTTCACTTTCACTTTAAATATTCCTATAATGATAGAGTAAAATAATGAATGTAATAATAATATTCATAGAGTAAAATAATAAATATAATAATAATAGAGTAAAATAATGTAAATGTAATAATAAGAATAAAGTAAAATAATAAATGTAATAATAACAAAAATAGAGTAAAATAATAAATGTAATAAAAATAATAGTAAAGTAACGTAAATGTAATAATAACAAGAATAGAGTGAAATAATATAAATGTAATTATTATTATTATAATAAATAGAGTAAAATAATAAATGTAATAAAATAACTTTGACTCAAGTATAAGCTGGGGGGGGGGGGTCAGCTTCAAAAAAGGGCTGAAAAACTTATACTCAAGTATATACAATATGCTTCTTTTCACATAGGGACTCCAAAACCCTTCTCTTCCATTCCTAATTGTCAAAATAAAAAGCTGTACCATTGAACAATCCTTATTAGTAAATAATAAACCTCTCAAATGCACCCTCCTGTTACCGATGACAAAGAAAGAAACAGATGTGCAGTGGGTCTATTTATCCAGTCAAGCGACATATATAATGTCCCTACTATATTCTGAGAGGTTCAGTTGCTCATTGCACTTTCCCTGTAGCTTTGAAAGAGTAAAAGTATTAAGGCAATAATTCTATGCTGCTTTAAAAGTTGACTATAATCCAGAAAGACTTACCAGAACATGATCAGGCACGGCATATTTGGCTATCTTTAAGGCAACTATTTCTCTTAACTCTTTGGTAACAATTTCCGGGTGTGCAGTTTCATCTTTTAGTACAATGAAAGCAAATGGAACTAGAAGAAAGAACAAAATGTATTCACTATTCATTCTAGGAGTTTTCAACATATATTAAAAAGGTAAAGGTTTCCCCTGACATTAAGTCTAGTTGTGTCTGACTCAGGGGATTGGTGCTCATCTCAATTTCTAAACTGAAGAGCCAGCGTTGTCCGTAGATACCTCCAAGGTCATGTGGCCGGCATGATTGCATGGAGCACCGTTACCTTCCTACAGAAGCAGTACCTATCGATCTACTCACACTTGCATGTTTTTGAACTGCTAAGTTGGCAGAAGCTGGGGCTAACAGTGGGAGCTGGGTTTGAACCACCAACCTTTCAGTCAGCAAGTTCAGCAGCTCAGTGGTTTAACCCACTGCGCCACCAGGGGACCCTCAACATATATTAGGTACTCTTTTTCACTACAATAGACAACACTAGTATAATAATCCATTACTCTGTGTGGGAGAAGTGTCAATGTGGTCTGAAAAAACATGGCTCTACTGATATTTTCACTAAGAAATACTAGGAAATGCTACTATTATTTTTTTATGACATTTATATGCTCCACTTCTCACCCCAAAGGGGACTCAAGATATATATACATACAATATATTATATTATTAGCATAGTACAATATCAGTATTAAATATAACTATATTGTACAATACCATTATATTGTAATATTATTAGTAATATTACATGTAATATAAATATATAATAATAATATCATATTATGATGAGTATTATATAGCATTACATTATAATATTATAAATATTATATGTATATACAGTATATTATATTATATTACATCATATTATATTAATAGAATAGCACAGGAGACAAGATTTTGTTTGGTGTAGTTCTTCCGTTTTTTTGTTTTTTTTTACATTCAAGCTCCAACAAAATTAATTAGTGGTCATTAGCACACTGGGTGCTGTGCCAAAAGATCTCAGCCGGCATTTGGAAACAATCAACATTGACAAAATCATGATCTGTCAACTGCAAAAGGCCACCTTACTTGGATCTGCACGCATCATTCGAAAATACATCACCCAGTCCTGGACGTTTGGGAAATGTTCGACTTGTGATTTTATGATACGAAATCCAGTATATAGATCTCGTTTGCTGTGACATATTATGTTTTTGTGTCAGTAAAATAATAATAATAATAATAATAATAATAATAATAATAATAAATCATCTTTATTTATACCCCACTTTTCTCCCATGAAGGGACTCAAAGCAGCTTCCAACATATTAAACACAGTATGAAGCAATAGCAATTAAAACACACATATAAACATATAAAACAATCAATAAACATAAATATACATAAATGTGGAGTCTTGTCAGATCATATCCTATTGAACCAGTAATACTGAGAATGAAATCATTTTTTTGTTCTTTAACCACATAGAATTGTAGAATCGGAAGAGACCTCATGGGCCATCCAGTCCAACCCCCTGCCAACAAGCAGGAAAATTGCATTCAAAGCACCTCCGACAGATGGCCATCCATCCTCTGTTTAAAAGCTTCCAATGAAGGAGCCTCCACCACAATCCGGGGCAGAGAGTTCCACTGCTGAACAGCTCTCACAGTCAGGAAGTTCTTCCTAATGTTCAGATGGAATCTCCTTTCTTGTAGTTTAGAGCCATTGTTCCGCGTCCTAGTCTCCAGGGCAGCAGAAAACAAGCTTGCTCCCTCCTCCCTGTGACTTCCTCTCACATATTTATACATGGCTATCATATCTCCTCTCAGCTTTCTCTTCTTCAGGCTAAACATGCTCAGCTCTTTAAGCCGCTCCTCATAGGGCTTGTTCTCCAGACCCTTGATCATTTTAGTCGCCCTCCTCTGGACACATTCCAGCTTGTCAATATCTCTCTTAAACTGTGGTGCCCAGAATTGGACACAATATTCTAGGTGTGGTCTAACATATTTCCATGTCTGTATTTTTAAAGGCAATGAATGGTTAAATATTTGAATAAGGACATTAACATGTTTCATCCACTTACCTTCCCCTTTGATGTCATGAGGATAGCTAATCACAGCTGTTTCGGGTACGGCAGGATGTTCATCCTTTTAGAAGAAATAAATTTAAAAGCAAAATAAACAAAGCATATCATTTATCATGTCATGACCTTATTTGTTTGCTCTGTGATTTCATAATGTTATCTGTTTTAATCATGAGCTTTTAGTAGGACAACTGTCAAAAAGCTTGTTCATACCCACTAAATACGTGAGCTGTCTCCATTGTAAGCATTTATCTGAGTTTACATTGATGGACAGATAATCAATTGAGGTAGTTAATCCTTAACAGCTCATTCACACATGCAAGTTATCTCTTAATGCCACAATGAGAGCATAGAATAACCACAGGTGAGCCAGCTCTCAACCCAAAATCTTATGCAATAATATTCCCTGATAAATTGTTGTGTTCAGATCAGTTTCCAAGAGTGAATTCTTGATGCCCAGCAATCACCATGGCGTCTTCAATCTCAGCCGTTCCAAGTCTGTGTCCACTGATGTTCATCACGTCATCCATTCGCCCTGTTATCTGGTAATAGCCTTCTTTGGTCCTGTAAGCACCGTCGCCCGTGAAATAATAACCTACAGTGACAAAACAGGCGTAATGTTGGTAAATCCTAGTGCAAACATTTCTTAAGATCACTGTGCTCTTATAGATGACACTGCCAATTACTCCTGTGGGGAAAAAAATCACAGTGTTTATATTGCAGGCAGATTGCTATGAATCACTGATGTTTATCACAGTGGAAAGAAGATGACTTCACACAGTACACGTTTTATGATAATATGTACACAACCAATGGAACTTATCCTGTAATACGATCAGTCCTCTATGTTTGCAGATTTGATTATCTACAGATTTGATCAGCACAGTCTCTCTAGGTCCCCTGGAAGTTGCGCGAAAACAGTGGTTCTCAACCTTCCTGATGCCACGACCTCTTAATACAGTTCCTCATGTTGTGGTGACCCCCAACCATAAAATTATTTTAGTTGCTAGTTCATAACCTTTTGTGTGTCTGTGTCAGAAGTGACTTGAGAAACTGCAAGTTGTTTCTGGTGTGAGAGAATTAGCCATCTGCAAGGACATCGCCAAGGGGACAACTGGATGTTTTGATGTTTTTACTATCCTTGTGGGAGGCTTCTCTCCTGTCCCCGCATGGGGAGGTGGAGTTGACAGAGGGGGCTCTTCCCACTCTCCCTGGATTTGAACCACTGACCTGTCGGTCAGCAGTCCTGACGACACAAGGGCTTAATCCATTGCATCACAGCTTCCTAAGATCTACAAAGATACTCGAAGAACATTTGAGCAAGCAGAAGTCCAAAAGTGGCAGGCTAAAACCTGGAGCCTCAATCAGGAGCTGAAACCAGATGAAAAACTCCCTCCTGGGTGCACAGAAAAGTGGACGACTTGGAAGGTGCTGAACAGACTGTGCTCTGGCATCACAAGATGCAGAGCCAACCTTAAGAAATGGGGCTACAAAGTGGAGTCCACAACATGCGAGTGTGGAGAAAGCAAACCACAGACCACTTACTACAATGCGGTCTGAGCCCTGCCACATGCACAGTGGAGGACCTTCTCACAGAGACATGAGAAGCAATCCAAGTGGCCAGCTTAGTCAAAGGAAATTTAGTACAATGCCAAGTTTTTAACTTAGTTTGTGGTTTTTTATACATTATAACTGTATTCTCAATTTGCTTCTGACACAATAAATAAATTAATGATGGACCGTATCAGTTCAAGATCTCAAATTGTTTCCAGGTCTTCACCAATTTTACCTGATGCAACAGATCATTAACAACAATTCTAACAGAATCCATTATTCTTTTATTTATGTTTTGCAATCTTATTCTATTTCTTCCACAAGCTCCTTTTCCTAGAATTCAATCCGGTATTAAATAAACAGAGATGTTTCAGAATGTTTATTTGTCTTCTTATTGTCTTTATGTAATAAATCCTTGCTTAATAGACATGAATAGGGTTGAATACAGGGTTTAACCTTTCATAGAACAAACTCTATGTTGTTGTTGAAAGAAGAAGAAAATAGCAGCAAATGGTGCAAAATAATGCTGTGCACCCGTTACACCCACATTTCCTTTTATTCATTCTTACCTGGGTAAGTTTTAAAATAAGCTTCTATGAATCTCTGGTGGTCTCCATAGATAGTGCGTGCCATGCCAGGCCAGGGCTGGGAAATGCACAGGGCGCCAGAAACATCATTGCCTTCTAATACATTTCCCTGAAGAGAAGGGGTCCAAGCAATAAGACGACAGTTAGCAAGACAATTAAATCTACCAAAATCAGGAGCAAATGGCCTAACTATACATTACACTCAGCCCTGGAACTTTTGTACAGGAGAAACATCAACCCTTTTGTAGCTACACACTACCAAGATTAAACTCAAGATTTAAAACTCTAATCAAATATTTACTTGAAGTTACTCATCAAATTTGGAGAGAAGGGAGAAATACTGTAAGTAAATATTCCTGCTATTATAATACATTTTTGAATGATTCTAGGTATATTTTAAAATACTCCTACTGCTACTAATAAATAATATCTGAACAACATCTTGAACTAATATTACTTAATATTTTGTAATAAACTGTGTACAAATAATATCTATCACCAGCAAAAGACTCCTGCATTTGAGATTAATGTAAGGCCATATATCTGTCTATTTATTTATTTACAGTATTTTTATCCCGCCCTTCTCACCCCAAAGAGGATTCAGAGCAGCTTATAGAACACACAGACAGCAAATATTCAATGCCGATTATACAATTAGCAAGGACAGACAACACAAAGAGAGGTAACTTTCTTTCCCATCTTGTTTCTGGCATTTTGGAGGCTGTGCTCAACTCCAGCCACAGGAGGGTGCTGTTGCTCCATCCTCCATGCCGAAGAGCTTTCCTCTGATCGATGTCCTTAAGGGCGCCTTTATTACCTCCTCGCTAAAAGCGATATCTATTTTATCTACTCACATTTCTTTCAACCTGCTAGGTGGGCAAGTAAGCTGGGGCTAGTGGCGGGTGCTCACTCCAACCCAGGCTCGAAGTGCCGACCTTTTGATCAGCTGGATTTTTCTGCAGCACAGTGGTTTAGCCTGCTGTGCCAAGCCCAGCCCCTATTAATGTATCTTCCTTCCTATCTATTCACCTATCTTCCTTCCTTCCTTTCTCTTTCACGGACCACAGCCTGAGAACTGCTGTTCATGTACAAGCCATTTACAGCCACCATGTTGCAGTGCTTTGTGTTTTAGACTGACTCTGGAGACCAGAGGTCAAATTTGAGACAGTTTAAAAAGAGGTTTTTAACGTCAAGATAAGTGATTTTAATGTTTTTGTATGTGTATAGTCTAGTATATTTCAGCATTGAATGTTTGCCTTTGGTATGTTGTGATCCACCATGAGTCCCCTTCAGGGTAAGAAGGGCGAAATATAAATGTTTTAAATAAATAATAAATAAATAAATTCCCACTCAGCCACAAAAACGCACTGGACGGCCTTGTTTTCTCAGTTTTAGAGAAAAGTGAAGGCTAACCCCCTCTGAAGAACTCTTGCCAAGTTTGCTTTGGGGTCACCAAAGACTTGAATGACTTGAACACACACAACACCAACTCCAAGCCATTTATCCAGTAGGTCCCTTCACAAAGTATAATATATTCTGACTGATATAATACTTTTGCTTATTCTAGCACATTCGTTTCCAACTTGTGGTCCATGGACCACCAGTGGTTCGCAAGAACTAAAATATGGTTTGCGGCCTTACAATTACTACTCCATTCCAGCAAGAGCGATTGGTCTTGAGAAACCTTCTTATAGTGCCAAGGCTTATTAAATATGGTTTTCTGTGGGCAAGCAGATGGCGACTACTGGATGGCATATGTTCTGTATCAGAAACTTGAGCTGATGTGGTCTCTCCAATGCAATTTTCTGAATCAGCACCCCAATTAACCAAATCGAATCTAAAGTTAACCAAAAACTGATTTGTAACGCTTCTGGTACTAATGTTGGAGAGTGGTCCCTGGTCAAAGTGGCCTTTGGTCAAGTGGTCCCTGGTCAAAAAAAAAAAAGATTGGGAACCACTGTCCTAGCCCCTTTCACTGTTTCTCTCCCAAACTCCCATGCAGCAGTTACCATACATGACAATCCTGGAAAAATATATCTAGGTTTTATTGATTTAAAACATGTTTTCAATGTTTTAGAGAGATTATTCAGTTGTAGCCTCAGTACCTGGCCTGAATATATCAACTCAACCTCATTATAACTACTGTCTATTTCCCTACATTTTCACCTTCTCATCCATCAGTACTGGGTTAATCCCATAGAATGGTCTCATTGCTATAGCGGGAATGATCTCAGCTTCTTTTTCTGAAGGCCGAGGTGCAATGCAAATCCCACCAGTTTCTGAAAGAACAATGGGGAGAGAAAGTCAGCTGAAATTCATATATGTTCTTTAATGCAAAAAAAAAAGTAATAATATTTGACAAAACAAATTCGCCATCCATTGTAATAGAAGGTGAACTGAATGATCTCCTCATTCCCTCAAAATAAACTGAACAGAACTGTAAACAATTCACATTAAAAGGAGATTTTTCATTAAGTCCTACTCATTTTCTCATATTTTTCCTTTAGGATCCCCATCACTCTGAACTACCAGGATGCATATAGTATACTGAATGCCTAGAATGGGCATATACCCGAATGCTCAATTTTAAAGAGATAATTATATACACAGAGGATTATTATTATTATTATTATTATTATTATTATTATTATTAAACTTTATTTGTACCCCGCTAGCATCTCCCGAAGGACTCGGTGCGGCTTACAAAGGCCAAGGCCTCAACATAACAACAACAGACAATAGGACAATAGTAGTAGGATTACTACTATTGATAAAGTTACACTGCTCCTTAACAAGCAATTAAAGGGGACTTGATTTAGGTAAGCAGGAAATGTAGGTTTTAATCTTAATTCATAGAATCATAAAGTTGGAAGAGACCTCATGGGTCATCCAGTCCAACCCCTGACAAGAAGCAGGAAAATTGCATTCAAAGTACCACCAACAGATGGCCATCCAGCCTCTGTTTAAAAGCCTCCAAAGAAGGAGCCTCCATCACACTCCAGGGCAGAGAGTTCCACTGCTGAACGGTTCTCACAGTCAGGAAGTTATTCCTAATGTTCAGATGGAATCTCCTCTCTTGTAGTTTGAAGCCATTGTTCCGCGTCCTAGTCTCCAGGGAAGCAGAAAACAAGCTTGCTCCCTCCTCCCTGTGGCTTCCTCTCACATATTTATACATGGCCATCATGTAGGCTAAACATGCCCAGCTCTTTAGGTGATTGTTCTCCAGACCCCTGATCATTTTAGTTGCTCTCCTCTGGACACATTTCAGCTTGTCAACATCTTCCTTCAATTGTGGTGCTCAGAATTGGACACAGTATTCCAGATATAGTCTGATCAAGGCAGAATACAGGGGTAAGATGACTTTCCTGGATCTTGACACTAGACTCCTATTAAAGCAGGCCAAAATCCCATTGGCTCTTATACTGCTGCAAGACATTGTTGGCTCATGTTTAACTTGTTGTCTCCAAGTTACTCCAAGATCTTTTTCACATGTACTGCTATCGAGCCAGGCATTGCCCCCATTTTGTATCTTTGCATTTCATTTCTTCTGCCTAAGTGGAGTATCTTGCATTTGTCACTGTTGAACTTCATTTTGTTAGTTTTGGCCCATCATCTCTCTAATCTGTTAAGATCGCTTCGAATTCTGCTCTTGTCTTCTGGAGTAGAATTTGTGATTTTACCTTCTTGTTTTGATAGTTTGGGTAGCTAAGATCAGAAAGAAACTCAACTTATGAGCTTAGGGTGGACAGTAATAGTCAGGGTTAAAACACAGCTATCTTATTTACCCAAATTGTGCCACTTCCTAACTACTAAGGCCCTTCCACACAGCCCTATATCCCAGAATATCAAGGCAGAAAATCCCACATTATCTCTGTGGACTCAGATAACCCAGTTAAAAGCAGATATTGTGGGATTTTGGCCTAGATATTCTGAAATATAGGACTCTGTGGATGGGCCCGAATTGGCATTATAAGGCTGCCAAATTATCACACTGGAAGAAGGAAAATGTCTGATAATGTCAATGTGATTACCACAATTCTGGAGTGGCAAGGAGGCACTATAAAAAGCTGGATTCCAACTCCCAACACTCTTTTTGCTATTGGTTATGCTGCCTAGGACAGATGGGAGATTCTATTCAACAACATCTGGAAAGTTGCATGATTTCTGCCTGTGTTTTACAGTTTCCTTTCAATGCTACCACACAACATTCTGGACACCTCCTTAAAGTCTTAAAGGAGCAGCTTAAAGAGCTGGGCATATTTAGCCTGCAGAAGAGAAGACTGAGAGGAGACATGATAGCCATGCAGAAATATGTGAGGGGAAGTCATAGGGAGGAGGGAGCAAGCTTGCTTCCTGCTGTCCTGCAGCCTAGGAAGCAGAACAATGGCTTCAAACTACAGGAATGAAAGGAGATTCCACCTGAACATTAGGAAGAACTTCCTAACTGTGAGAGCTGTTCAGCGGTGGAACTCTCTGCCCCTGAGTGTGGTGGAGGCTTCTTCTATGGAGGCTTTTAAACAGAGGCTGGATGGCCATCTGTTGCAGGTTATTGGAACCTGATTATCCTGCTTCTTGGTAGGGGGTTGGACTGGATGGCCCACGAGGTCTCTTCCAACTCTATGATGCCCAGCTAACATCATGGTAGGACCATGCACTACTGGACCCACCAGTCAACATCTTCTCATTGTCCTTCTCTATTGTTGGCTGTATGCTTCATGCTAGACTAATTTGGGGTCAGATTCTGAACATCTTCCAGGGACATTAGCTCTCATGTAAAAATACCTATGTGCTCCTAGTTCTGTTTTCTACCTTCTGCCTCCAACCCATGAGCTGGGTAGCTACCTAGAGAATTATATTCAACCCAATTTTATGTACTTAGCAAGTGATTTCGACAGCAACGATAGAAGTGTAAGGACATTATGGAATGTGCTTCCTTCTGCTGTTTTCACAGCACTTCAAATGGTTTGCCGAAAAGCGGTTTATGAGACTAAAATGCTATTATTGTATAGGATTAGATTCTCCCACCCCATTACGGGCATTCTGCGATTATTTTCAATTCAGGATTGAGCCTCTTAATCATTCTTCCCTCATTTCTATCAGGATAAATGTTAAATCAGATCAGAGAGTTCAACCTTAATCAGATCTTTTATAGCCTAACACTAGCAAATACACAAAAAGAAGCAACAGTAATAAAATCAAAGAAATTTTAGGCCTTGCGTTAATAAAAGCCGCACTCCACAGTTGGCATAAATATATGCAGTTCTCCCGATACCCAGCAATTTACACCAAATGAAGATCTGCTGCTCAAAGTCTATTATTTATTAGTACTCTTATCTCAGGATTTTGCTTCTTGCTTGCCCTCTGAAGGCTGGAGAAGGAGAGAGAAGAGCTGCCCTACTTGGCACAAAACAGCAATCCTCCATCTTTTTTCATTTATAGAGATCAAGGCTCAAACAGGGCTTATACGCTAATGGGAAAGTTATTTGGGAAGCCTAAAAGGTAATGGATGGCTCTGTGCCCTAATTACAAATCACTCAAAATATCTTAAAGCCATTGTTACCGCTTACAGTGTATACAGTACTTTTAAGGCATTAACCTCTTTATCTTGTTTGTCCTTATCTAAGTCGAGGAAAGGAGAAGAATATTCCTTCGCAGGACAAGAAACAGTGAGATACCTCATTTGACATTACAGTACTGCCTTGACTTAAGAGTTTAATTCGTTCCATGACCGAGCTCTTAACTCAAATACTCTTATCTCAAAGCAAATTTTCCATTATGTATTTATTGAGTCAGAAGTGAACTGAGAATGCAGTTATAATGTATTTAAAAACACAAACAAAGTTAAAAACTTGGCAAGATGCTAAATGTCCTTTGACCTGGAGTGCCTCTAGTGTTGCTGTGAAAAGGTCCTCCATTATGCAGGTGGAAGGGTTCAGGTTGCATTGCAGCAGGTGGTCTGTGGTTTGCTCTTCTCCACATTCGCATGTCGTGGACTCCACTTTGTAGCCCCATTTCTTAAAGTTAGCTCTGCATTTCATGGTGCCAGAGAACAGTCTGTTCAGCATTTCCCAAATCGCCCAGTCTTCCGTGCACCCAGGAGGGAGTTTCTCATCTGGTATCAGTCACTGATTGAGATTTCGGGTTTTAGACTGCCACTTTTGGACTCTCACTTGCTGAGGTGTTCCTGCAAGTGTCCCTGTAGATCTTAGGAAGCTATTTCTTGATTTAAGGCATTGGCTTGCTGGCTAATATCCGACCAGAGGATGGGTCAGAGATGTCAATTCTTTCATTATTGGCCGCTACTTCCCAGATATCAGGTGGTGCAATACCGGCTAAACAAAATAATTTCTCCAATGGCGGAGGGTAGGCATTCTCAAATTGTGGCCCTCCAGCTGTTTGGGCCTTCAACTCCCAGAATTCCTGACACTTGAACAAGCTTGTTAGGGCTTTTGGGAGTTGGAGGCCCAAACAGCTGGAGGGCCACACTTTGAGGATGTCTGGCATAGGGCCTAGACATCCTGTGATAATGCAGCATATCTCATCAAGAGCCACATCTACTGTTTTAACACGGTGAGATGTGTTCCACACTGGGCATATGTTTTAAGCAGCAGAGTAGCAAAGTACAAGGGAAGATGTCTTCACTGTATCTGGTTGTAATCCCCAGGTTGTGCCAGTCAGTTTTTGTATGATATTGTTTCTAGCACCCACTTTTTGCTTGATATTCAAGTAGTGCCTCTTATAAATCAGAGCAGGGTCCAGAGTGACTCCCAACATTTTCCCATTGAAATTTTTTTGTTACACGTTTTTAAATAGGAAAATGTACTTTATAAATAACAAATAATGTATAGAAGCACATTCACGTGGAAAAATAAAAAGAAGGATCAACTTTAAAATGGGAAAAGCACAAAGTTGTGGCAAAGAAGCAAAATGTGTGCTGGCAATGTAACAGCAAGGCAAAACCTGGACACTCCACATGGAACAATAAAAAAGAAAGCTCAACTTTAAAAGCACAAAGTTGTGGCAAGGAAGCACAAAGCACAAAGCAAGGAGGCAGGAGCATCATTTTCTTCATAATGTACCCATTCCAGACTCCCTCCCTTTCTTGCTCCCTCTCCCTCTCTCTCTCTTCATGAAGCCAAACATACCAGGAATAGTGGGTTGTAGGTTTTTTCGGGCTATATGGCCATGTTCTAGAGGCATTCTCTCCTGATGTTTCGCCTGCATCTATGGCAAGCATCTTCAGAGGTAGTGAGGAATAAAAACCACACAAAATCAACTAACCCAAAGTTCTACAAAGCGGACAAGAGCAAAGTGGACAGCAATCTCCCAAAGTGGACAAGAGCATGAGGCATGGAGGCTGCTCCCTTGAAGCCCTAAAGCCCTGTACTCTTGTGCTAGTGCTCCCTCTGGCGTTAGCTCTTAACTCAAAATGCTGCTCATATCTCAAAGCAAAACCAGACATAGTAGTAACTCTTAACTCAAAGCGCTCTTAAGTCAGGATGCTCTTAAGTCACATTTCCACTACATTCCTTACGGATATGGGGATCTTACTGTATTACATTAGAGACTGCGTTTTTCTTCGAATTTTATTTGAAGGAGTAAGTTTAACCGTAACATCGAATCTGGAAGTTATGCTGCCACACTGAGCCTATCACACTTTCCAAATATAACAACAGTTAAGATTTGGACTCCGAGCTCTCTGTTAGCCTGTCTACCTTGCTGCTCCCCCTCATTGCACCCCACTGATATACTCTCTCTCTCTCTCTCTCTCTCTCATAATCTCCTTCTCACTTATCCACTCACCCCAATGCTTTCAAATGGATTTGGAAAGCCTGATTTGCTAATCTTTATGCTTGTTCAAGTTGATTATCTTGTGGCACACTGCTGCTTCAGACAGCAATGTTCCCGAGAGGATAAACAGCAATTAAGGGGCTATTTTTAAATTGATTATGAGTTGTGCAATCGAAAATCAACACACATTATGTATCTTCAAAAACACCATGAATTATTGTCATAACTACGCTTTATATCCAAAGGAAACAATAAATCCCACAAAAAATGTGTGGATTTACATTGAATACACTACGTAATCAGCTTTTGGGACATTATGGTTTTCCACCAGCCGTCATTATTGGGGGGGGGGGGGGATCCTTCTACTTCAAATAATTAGTTTATAAGTCTGGGTGGACCAATATTATAATTTTAGAAATTGAATTTTGAGCAAAAGATTACGACGTAAACAGGGTTTCTTGGAAAATAAACTCTTTAGTGGCTTTCATGCCTGAAGAGTGTTATTTCAGGGAAAAGCAAAAATATTTCCTTCCTAAAATGATGGATGCTTCCACTGCTGTGTTAAATAGTGTTGGAATGCTTTCAACATAAGCATTGTTACAGCAATTGTATACCCTTCTTCAATCAAAAAGGGATTTCCACTTACACAGACAATCTCCTGCCTCCTATCGCTCCCACTACTCATTGGAGGCCCTCCTTCCAATGACATTTCAGGTTATGGCGAGTGCCATGAACACGTCCAAGAGCCCTGCCAATGTCCTCCACAAACACCAGACTGCCCACCACCCAAGTGAAGGCTTTCATATAGGGACAATTTCATCCTAGATTTTATGTGTTTCCTCCACCACAGGCATCCCAGTGTTTCTTACTCTCTCCACTGGTATGGAATTTGCATGACCCCACCCACTGCCTCTACCATAACCCTTTCCTATTCTTTTCTATGACACACAGCAAACAGAGGAATTGATCAGCAACTGAACATACTAGAGAGGTTTGGGGAGAATTCAACATGATTTATAGGAGTTGTAGGTACTGGGATGTATTTATTTATTATTTATTTATTTACTATATTTGTATACCGCTCTTCTCAGCCCTCGGGCGACTCAGAGCAGTTCACAATAGCAAAATTCAATGCTTAGAACATCATAAAACAGTTAAAAACCATTGAAACAATAGCATTATAACAATAAATTAAACATCATATAACATCTCATATTGTCTCATAGTTAAAATCAAGATCCAGTCTCATCATCCAATCGTTCCATATTCCTATATTCGTTACACTGCCTATTCAAATGCCTGCTCGAACAACCAGGTCTTCACTTTCCTCCGAAATGCTAACAGGGAGGGGGCCAATCTAATTTCTCTAGGAAGGACATTCCACAGCCGAGGGGCCACCACTGAGAAGGCCCTGTTTCTCGTTCCCGCCAAACGTACTTGTGATGCAGGCGGGATCGAGAGCAGGGCCTCCCCAGATGATCTTAACGTCCTAGCTTGTATGGTTCACCTGCAAACCAAGAGAACGTTGAACTCCTCCAACCAGAGTCCTTGAACTAACAGAACCCCCCCCCCCCCAAACACACACACACACACACACATATATATATAGGAGGTCTTTGGAGGGATTTGTAGAAGTTGTAGCTCATCTTAAGGAGAATTCACCATATTTATAGGAGTTGTCGGTACAGGAAATGTATGGTTCACCTACAATCCAAGAGTACTCTGAACTCTACCAACGATGGACCTGGACCTAACTTGACACACAGAACTCCCACGACCAACAAAGAACACTGGAGGTCTTTGGAGGGGATTTATAGGAGTTGTAGTTCACCTACATCCAGAGCACACTGTGAACCCAAACAACAATGGATCTGGACCAAACTTGGCATGCATACCCCATATGCCCAAATTTGAATACTGGTGGGTTTTGTGGGGAATTGCCTGGACATTTTGGAGTTGTAGGTACTGAGATTGATAGTTCACCTGCAATCAATGTACACTCTGAACTCCATCAAAGATGGAATTGGATCAAACTTGGCACACAGAGCCCCCATGACCAGCGAACAAACAAACAAACAAACAAACAAACAAAAACACTGGAGGTCTTTGGGGAAAATTCATCTTGATTTGGGGGAGTTGTAGTTCACCTACACCCAGAGAGCACTGTAAACCCAAATACTGATGGATCTGGACCAAACTTGGCACACATGCCTGATATGCTGAAATTTGATTACTGGGGGGTTTTGGGGGGTATTGACCTTCCATTCTGGGAGTTGTAGTTCACCCACCACCAGAGAAACTGTGATCTCCACCAATGATGGACCTGGACCAAACTCAGCACACAGAACCCCCATGACTAGCTCAACCTACTGGAGAGGTTTGAGGAGACTGATTTATCATAGTGAGAGTTGTAGTTTACCCTACAGCCAGAGAGCACATTGAACCCCACCGATGATGCATCTAACGCAAAAAATTGTGTACTTGTCTTGAGTGACTGCTCTCTCTGGAAAATCAACTCATGTAACATGTCCAATATCATTAGCAAATGTGATTATTATAATCAAGTTGTCGCTTAAGCAGATAAGCCAGACAACACAAAGCACCCTGCTTTGCTTTTTTTTGAACATATATTCACTGCCATTATTTTACCTGTTTGCCACCATGTGTCCACAACCGTACACCTTCGATCTCCTACCACATCGTAGAACCACTGCCATGCTTCATTGTTTATTGGTTCTCCCACTAAAATACAAAACATTTTTTTAAAAAACTATGATTTCAGAACAAAGAGCTACAAAGATTAACTGCCAAAAGGGATTGTGTAGCTATTATGTCTGTTCCTGTTGTAGCCTGGTCAGATTCTGAGTGCTCAGAAGATGAGGAAGGGGATGCTGGGATAGATCCAGAGGGCCCAGAGGAGGATAGAGGTGGCCTAGAGAGAGTTGTGTTTGGAATCTCCTGGTAGTTCCCACAAGACTGGAGAAGACAATATCAGTTCTCATGAGAATCTGCCAGAAGTGCAGGCTGAGAGAAATGTGGGAGATGAATGTTTGACTAGGAACCTCATCACACTAGAGCAGTGGTTCTCAACCTGGGGTCCCCAGATGTTTTTGGTCTACAACTCCCAGAAATCCCAGCCAGTTTACCAGCTGTTAGGATTTCTGGGGGTTGAAGGCCAAAAACATCTGGGGACCCCAGGTTGAGAACCACTGCACTAGAGAATGAATCCACTTTAAATCTGGTTGCTGCCTACTGCAGAATTCTGGGGCTTATAGTTTAGGGAGGAGCCTTTAACAGCCTCACTAAACTACAAATTCCACAGGAGGCAGAAACCAGATTTAAAGTGGATTCATTCTCTAGTGTGATGAAATAGCAAGTCAGTGGTTCTCAACCTGTGGGTCTCCAGGTGTTTTAGCCTATACGCAGGCCCGATTGGTGGGCACGAGAGAGAGGGCCTTTTCGGTGGTGGCCCCTCGACTCTGGAACTCACTCCCTAAGGACATCAGGCAGGCCCCAACTCTGGCAGTCTTCAGGAGGAGTTTGAAGATGTGGTTGTTCCAGTGTGCCTTCCCAGAATAATGATCCCTTAGCACTTTGTCCCTCCAAAGAATTTTATACTTTTAGGTCTGCTCGTATGTCTTCCACAAACGCCACTATCACCTTTTCGTCCATGCCTCAGCACTATTCCAATTTTAATTTTTACATTTGGCCTTCGCACAGTTTTAATTGTATTTTGTCTTATTGATAATGTCATATGTTTATCGTTTATGTTCGATTTTAATTGCTTGTATTGTTGTGATTATTGCCTGTATTGTTGTGTTTGGGCTCGGCCTCATGTAAGCCGCACCGGGTCCCTTGGGAAGATGGTAGCAGGGTACAAATAAAGTGTTATTATTATTATTATTATTAACTCCCAGAAATCCCAGCCAGTTTACCAGCTGTTAGGTTTTTTGGGAGTTGGACACCAAAACATCAGAAGACCCACTGGTTGAGAACCACTGGTCTAGGTCAAGGTACTTGGAACTATGGAGACAGAGCATGCAACAAAGACAGACTTGCTTTTCCCAGAGGCTTAGAGATAAGGAGAGGAAAAGCAGGTGTGAGAGAAATGATGTTATGGGAGGGCTTGAGGCCTTTTAAAGTGGTTCCTGCTGGTACAATCCTTTGTGAGAGCAATATTGTATTCAGGTGAACTGTTGTGGATTGACTCTGGAGATTGTATTTGAAATGATTTTGGACTCTCAGCTATCTTGGAAATAACCTTTGGAACTCTGATTCTCTCTTATTTTTATATACTCTTCTTTTTTTAAAAAAAAACTTTTACTTACTGGATTATATGGAAAGAGTGTGGTTTATGGTGAAATGTTGTTTCAGGGCTCTAGCGCAACAGTTCCTTCTTAACAGATAATGTTTTTCAAACAGAAAAGATAGAAGTACTGAGAAGAGACTGGAAACTTGGAAGTTGAATGCAACATTTGCAACTCTTGTAAAATCCAGTAAAGCAAACAGTGCAATTGCATGATAAAAGCCTCTTCTCTAAGCACTTGCTAGACACTATGTAAGAGGATGCAAATACAGGCATAATCAGTTCAGAATGTTCAGAGGGCTGGGGCCATCTTTGCGTCCTCTTGAATTATTTTGCCAGATTTAGGAGTAGGGTTCCATAGATTACTTTTGCAGTTAGGGAAGGTCTAGAGAAGGGCAGGGCTAAAACTGTGATGAAGCTGAAAAATATACCAGAGAGTTTTGGCCATTTTTACACCAGAACCTGAAAGACTACATGCAAGTCACACAAATCTCACTCCTAGGCTTAGATCAGTGGTTCTCAACCTGTGGGTCTCCAGGTGTTTTGGCCTACAATTCCCAGAAATCCCAGCCAGTTTACTAGCTGTTAGGATTGCTGGTGTTGAAGGCCAAAACATCTGAGGACCCACAGGTTGAGAACCACTAGATTAGAGGGAAGCTTAGGAAAGTTTTCAAGTTATTCAAGTTTTCCCCCTCTAACCACCACCAAATCTTTGGAATGAATGCAGACCTATGGAAATTCAGCATCCAGAAAAAATAAACTTAACTAGGGACTTCAAACTGTAATATTTATTATTTATTTATTAATATAGCTTCAGTTGTCCATCCTCACCTGATCCAAGGGTAGTTAAAGAGGATCTGTCATATTTCTTCACATATTCATCTCCATACTTCAGCAGCAAACGCAATGCAGTGGGAGCACAATAAAACTGATTTATTTTTAATCTTTGCACAGTTTCCCAATAGCGACCTGCAAAAATCCAAAGTTATTTTAAGCTAGTGATGTGAACTTGATAAAACACAACAAACTCTTCATCTTTCTAGCTCAATGACAACAGAAAAGTAATAATAGCTAGATAGCAGGGGTAAACCACAAATGTATTCCCTTCTTCCCTATCTATACTAACCCTTTTATGGTATCAATTGAGACTGTTATAGATGTTTTGTATTTCTTCCTGCCTGTTCCCTTTCACTTCTCCTCTAGCAGTATGCAGGTAGCTCATCTTAGGACTCTAGGTAATTTTTCATATCTTTACAAAGAGAGATGCACAACTCACTGTTTGTGCCAGAGCTAATTGCTCTGGGCCAGAGTGAAGAGAGAGGGGGGCAGAAGACCTTGTTGCCTGTGCTATGGTAATAATATAATATAAAATAAAATAATATAATATATTGTATATACATATAATATTTATAATATTATAATGTAATGCAATATAATACTAACACTAATAATAACATGATATAATTATAATTATATATATATATTACATGTAATATTACTAATAATATTACAATATAATGGAATAGTACAGTATAGTAATATTTAATACCGATATTGTACTATGCTAATAATATAATATATTGTGTGTATGTGTGTGTGTGTTTGTGTGTGTATCTTGTAAGCTGCTCTGAGTTCCCTTCAGGGTGAGAAGGGCAGCATAGAAATGTCATAAATAAATAAATAAATAAGATAAAGGTTTCCCCTTGACATTAAGTCTAGTTGTGTCCGACTCTGGGGGGGTGGTACTCATCTCAATTTCTAAGCCGAAGAGCTGGCATTATCTGTAGACACCTCCAAGGTCATGTTGCTGGCATGACTGCATGGAGCACCGTTACTTTCCCGCCAGATTGGTACCTATTGCTCTACTCACATTTACATGTTTTTGAACTATTAGGTTGGCAGGAGCTGGAGCTAACAATGGGAGCTCACCCCACTCCCTGGATTCAAACAGTCAGCAAGTTCAGCAGCTCAGCAGTTTAACCCACTTCGCCATTCGGGGCTCCAATAATAAATAACAATTTTCTCATTAATAAAGTCTAAATTGATATTTGGCACTTCATTTGCATTCTATAAATAGTGGTAAAACAGTAGCTGCATAGCAGGTAGCCATAGGCAATTCAGCCCCACAAAATAAGACCAACCTTCAGTTAAAACTTGGTCTTTTTATTAAACCCTACAGACTTCCAGGTTTTTTGCATAACACAGTTATAGCACTGTGATTTCTCTATAATTGCCATGACAATATCCTGTGGCATTATTCTAGGATATGCAGTTTTAAGTTAAGGGAGGAGTATTTAGGGTTTAGGGTTCTTTATGATTTTCATCATTACCAGTTTGAAGTCTTTAAATTACTCAGTCATTTGATATAGTCTCAGAACGTTTAAATAATTGTTCTTGTTTTACACTGTTATTGCAAGCCAGACATACTGCTTATGTTATGGGATGGGATACAAAATATACAATCCTCTTTTAAATAAACACATGAAAGTATTATTTATATCCAGCACTTAGTATTAACTTGTTTTTTCTATTCTTTCCAGAGAATATTTTAGCCTAAGGAATATCCTGACATAAAAACAGAGTTTAAGGAAGAGCTTTTGTAGATCAGGACACACACACAATCCACACACACACACACACCATCCCCTCCTTGTTCCTTATTTTCAGGACTGACTCAGCTCTCTGAATCTGAAACCTTTTACAAGTCCTTCATTAATACATTGCAGCTGCTCCCTACACCCAGTAGTATGTTTACATATTAGATTTGCAAGTTACCTGGATCAGGATAAACAGGAGTGCTTTCAAACAGAACTGTGGTGCATCCATTGCAGAGTGGTCCATACACCACATAACTGTGTCCTGTGATCCAACCAATATCAGCTACACAACCAAAAATATCATCTTGCTTGACGTCAAATACATGCTGTAAAAAGAATAGTACAGAGAGCCAGGGTAATTTTACACAGTTCCTTTCTGTGGGGTGTTATCACCATGAGATAACAATTCCTTGTATGATGTGGTAAAGACAAGACAAAAACTCATATTTTCCCTTTCAAGGTCTCCAATTCATGGTTTCACATGAAATATGGGAAAAGCCCACTGGCACAGAGGGTTAAAAAGCTGAACTGCTGAACTTGCTGACCGAAAGGTCGGTGGTTTGAATCCGGGGAGCGGGGTGACCTCCTGCTGTTAGGCCCAGCTTCTGCCAACTTAGCAGTTCAAAAACATGCAAACGTGAGTAGATCAATAGGTACTGCTCCGGTGGAAAGGTAAGGATGCTCCATGCAGTCATGCCGGTCACATGACCCTGTCTATGGACAACAGTGGCTCTTCAGCTTAGAAATGGAGATGAGTGCCACCCCCCAGAGTCGGATATGACTAGACTTAATGTCAAGGGGAAACCTTTATCTTTAACTTATGAGAAAAAAATCCCATCAATAACACAGAAGAATTACAGGACTTCTGCTAGCTTTATTTTCTTAACAGTAGACAGAACTGTAATTTCAAGGGTCCATCTATGAATTGCGGAAAATGCACAAGGATGTTAAAAGTACCAGCATTTCAACGTTCAATAAAGATCCCTGATTGACCAATTACAAGCAACAGATATTCACATAAAAAGTTATGTGAAACTTAAATATATATTTTAATGAAGAATTTTAAAAATATTATTAATAATAAATACTGTCTTTTTTCACATTTTTCTATATAAACATTCCTAACAATAAGGTGCATCTTAGAATCACAGGTGTATCTTATGTATTTTTGCTGGTGGTAGTGTTACTGAGATTAGGCTGTGTCTTATAATCAATCTAAGACTGAAATACAACACCGCCTGAGCTCTGCGAGTGCAGCATTTTTCCGAATGAAGCAGAGCGTGTTTGAGGATCGGGACATCTGTAGGGAGACCAAGGTGCTTGTTTATAAAGCCATTGTCCTCCCAACCCTGCTATACGTCTGTGAAACGTGGACTGTCTACAGACATCAAAGGCAACTCCTGGAAAGATTCCATCAGCGCTGCCTCCGAAAAATCTTGCAAATCTCTTGGGATGACAGGCAGACAAATGTCAGTGTGCTGGAAGAAGCAAAGAACACCAGCACCGAAGCAATGCTCCTCCACTATCAACTCCAGTGGACTGGCCATGTTGTCTGAATGCCCGATCACCATCTCCCAAAGCAGTTACTCTACTCTGAACTCAAGAACAGGAAACAGAATGTTGGTGGACAGGAAAAGAGTTTTAACGATGGGCTTTAAAGCCAACCTTTAAAACTGAGGCACAGACACTGGGAAGCCCTGGTTCTTGAGCACTCTAACTGGAGGTCAGCTGTGACCAGCAGTGCTGTAGAATTCGAAGAGGCACGAATAGAGGGCAAAAGGGAGAAATGTGACAAGAGGAAGGTGTATCAAGCCAACCCTGACTGGGACTGCTCTTCATCTGGAAGCCAAAGAAATGATGGAAGAAATAGTCATCTAACTTAATTATCGTGAGCATGGAACTATTTTCAGGTTTTGGAGTTAACCGAATTTTAACTAGAACTATTAGAATTGGAAAATTTTTATGGGACAGTATAATCAAAAATGCTTCACACATGTTCAAACATATTACAAAGGTTTCCCTGCAGTTATTGCTATGCTTAAAAACAAGAGACGTACTTTCCCCAGCTATGATCGCTGAAATACCTTGTGCGTTAAGGCAGCATAAAGTAGGTATCCTGCCTGGGTGTGAACAATGCCTTTAGGTTTCCCTGTGCTTCCCGAAGTATAAAGCATAAATAGCATATCTTCACTGTCCATGATTTCAGGGGGACAAACAGAAGCCGCTTTTGCCATTTCCTAAAAAACATACAAAGAAGAACAAAATCATAAAAGCTAAAGCAATGTGTCTGTTTCTTCAATTACTCTCATGTTTCTGTGCAGAAACATTTGCAAACCCAAATTTGCCATGTTACCCTCTGAAGCTCAATTTAGACAACTATCAGTCCTGCAGTCTTGGGCATCAATCTCACATGCATCCTTCTTTACTATTTTAGGAAGTGTAACACAATGCCATCTTTAAGACATTATTCCAAACCCTGGGATTAACAAAACACAAAAATAATGTGATTGATGTATTGTCGAAAGCTTTCACTGGGTTGTTTTAGGTTTTTTCGGGCTATATGGCCAGGCTCTAGAGGCATGCTCTCCGGACATTTCGCCTGCATCTATGGCAAGCATCCTCAGAGGTAGTGAGGTGGTGATGTGATTGAGTTACATGACATATATTTGATTTTTCTGAATATATAATAAACTGTTTCAGTCCGTAAAACACTTATAATAGTAGTAATAACAACAACAATAACAACAATAACAATAATAATACTTTATTTATAACCTGGCTTATCTCATCAAGGGGACTCGATCAATAATGAAATACACTCAAATGTTGACGATAGCAAAGTCTATTAAAAGATCTGGCCAAAGGAACTAGAAGTTTGTGCTTGGTAAGTGGGTTGTAGTTCAAATGGGAGGGGGGAAATTTTCCAATCTGGTCATGAGCCATCATATGACGCTTGCCGTTATCTTATGAAAATGCAGAAAGGGAAGTTTAATCTTAAAACCCTGCAATTACTGTTTGAGAAAGGACATGGCTGTTGTAAGAACCCTCTGTTGCCAATGTCTGGTGAATCATATTTTCCTTCTGAGATGAATACAAGTATCTGACAACGATATTCCTTTTGGTTCTTCCCTTCAGAGCCACTACAGAAGCGTTCTTATGGGAGGATGCAATACAAAGGATATTCGCAGGAAAAACCTCAGTGCATATTACAAAAAATAATATGGACCAGCTCAAATGTCACAATAAATCACAAAAAGAAGACACCACGGCAATTCCAGAAGAAAATGGTGACAGTTTCCTTCCACTTCCCTTCAGCCAACAAATTCAGGCCTACAAATGAACCTCATGCCTCATCAGGAAAGACTGCCTGGTACTGTTTTTGTTGTCATTTTAATGTGTTCTGTATAGTCAATATTTGCTAAAATGCACCTATCAATAGGCAATGCACATAATGACCTGCCTTTCACATTGAGCCCCCTTCTACCTTGAGCCTCCATCCACATTAAAAATATTAAGAGTGCATTCAGAGGATAGAGATCTTGACTTAAGAAGCAAATATGCCAGAAACAAAGCTCTACTGTAGGAATTCCATTCCAAAGGCCCTTCCAGACAGGCCCTATATCCCAGGATCTGATGCAGGGTTTTCTGCTTTAAACTGGATTATATGAATCCCCACTTCCAGATAATCTGGGATAAACAGAAACTTGGGATTGGATCATGGGATATAGGGCCTGTCTGGAGGGGCCCTGAGACAGGTTAGTTAATCAGGGTGCTAAGACAGCTACATCTTGGAAAGTCAAGAGGTGGAAAAACATCCCTAAAGGGGGAATCCTCAAAGTGTGGCCCTCCAGATGTTTGAGCCTTTAACTCCCAAATCCCTAGCCAGGCTTGTTCAATGGTCAGGAATTCTGGGTACTGGAGGCCCAAACAGCTGGAGGGCTACAGTTTGAGGAGGCATCACAGAGGGGTCAGGATACGTATATATAGAAGGAGGACACTTCATTCAAACTATCTAACCCTATTACTACTGTATTGTCGAAGGCATTAATGGCCAGAATCACTGGGTTGCTATAAGTCTTTTGGGCTATATGGCCATGTTCTCACAACCTCTGAAGATGCCTGCCATAGATGCAGCCGAAACATTAGGAGAGAATGCTTCTGGAACATGGCCATACAGCCCAAAAGACTTGTTGTTGTTGTTGTTGTTGTTGATTCATTCAGTCGTTTCCGACTCCTCGTGACCTCATGGAGCAGCCCACGCCAGAGCCCCCTGTTGGCCGTCACCA